CTCTTTCCTCTGTGCCTCAGTGCCGCTGTCCGTTTGACTTTAAAGACATTTTGAACTTGCTAGGCTGGTGTGGATAATTGTTTGTGTGTCCAAAATAGCAGAATGATGGAGGACACAGCAAAGAGTTTTTGAAATGTCTGATGTTCATGATGTGTATATATAAATAAGACTTGTCTGCACAGTGTGTTTGCTTGTTTTGAAACAACCCTAATCTATATATAGACTGATGAAGTGGTGGTGCACATTTCATGCTGGTGTGGAATGGTTAAAGTTCACTGCCAGTATGACCCTTGCAATAATCTGCAGCTCAGTAGGAAGTCATTGGGGTTATCTTTGATTCCACTAAGCCCCTGAAATGAATGTCATCCATCATCTTCCAGTGGTTCAGGACTTAATGTGTGTGACTGCTGTCTTTAGTAATCACCTCTTAGCATCGTGTGAGCCAGCAGCCCTCATTGCAGTGATGCATGTTTGGTTCCAGCCTGCGACTTTTAGCCCGTGCCATACCTATTTTCTCTCTCCATGTGTCACTCTTGGTCAACAGTGTAATCATGGAAAATGCTAGAAAATTGGTATTTAAAAAAAATCTTGGGCATTGTGACCATCATATTTTGTTTTTGCACATTAGAGTCTAAAAGTCACATATAGCATCTGCTGCTGTCTCTTGGTTCTTCTGATTTATGGCTTTGTTGTTTGAAAGAAAGAAATAAACAAAAATAAAATCTTCACTAGCCCATAACATAGATTAAGACATCACAAAAAGCCACCTTGTGTAGTGCTGCCAGAGTCTGGGCTGTAGTTAAGGCCAGTGTGATCAGAATGAACGCCATACAGATTGTACAGCTATGGATGAAATGAAAGCTTTGAAAGTCTATAACAGACTGTTGCAAACATAGATGCCTCACATGTCTCGTGTGGCTGTCAGATCCCTCAAATGCTGCTGAATCTTGCATGGTACTGCTATGAGGTGATTTTTAACATCTCTTAGGTAAATGGCCCATTGCTTCTTGGAAACCTATTTCATTTGTAGCTTAGATTAATTTGTTTGCTTGATTAAACAAGTCATCTACGCTAAAATAATCAGGACATACAGTAGTTGATTTGACAGCTGACCTCAAGTGAATGAGAGCTGTGTTTGTACCAGAAGATATACTGCTTATCCTGTAGAAGGCCACTGAAGCCAGAGGCGGGGTACACGCTGGACAGGTCGCCAGTCTATCACAGGGCTGACACATAGACAGACAACCACTTGCATTCACACCTAAGGGCAATTTTAGACCTGCCAGTCAACCTAACCTGCATGTCTTTGGACTATGGGAGGAAGCTGGAAAACCCAGAGAGAACCCACACAAGCATGTGGAGTACATGCAAACTCCACAAAGAAAGGCCTCAGTCAGCCACGAGGTTTGAACCCAGAACCTTCTTGCTGTGAGACGAAAATGCTTCTACTGTCCTGCACCACTGTGGTGCCAGATCAACTCCTACAGAGGAAAAGAAAAAGACATTTTTCTTCATTTAAAAATACATAAAACAGTAGAATTATTCTCAAGGGTCTCATTCGATATGTCACAGATTGATCTGTGTGTCAAGCAGGGATGCCACTACAGATAAAACTACTCTGTTCTGTGTACTGCTGTTCTTCTTCGCCAACGTGCTATATGATTGTGCTTCTACAGTTAGATCACAAGCTAGATAACTCTTAAAGGAGTTGCAGAGGAAGACATCACAAGCGAATGATTAAGATGTTCTCTAAATGCCTGCCTGGACAGTTGCTGATCACTCTGATGTGAAACAACATACAGTGGATATAAAAAGTCTACACACCCCTGTTAAAATGCCCGGTTTCTGTGATGTAAAAAAACGAGACCAAGATAAATAATTCCAGAACTTTAGCCACCTTTAATGTGACCTATAACTTGTACAACTCAATTGAAAACAAACTGAAATCTGTTTTTCAGTGGGAAGTAAAAATAAAAAACTAAAATAATGTGGTTGCATTAGTGTGCACACCCTTAAACTAATATTTTGTTGAAGCACCTTTTGATTTTATTACAGCACTCAGTCTTTTTGGGTATGAGTTTATCAGCAATGCACATCTTGACTCTGCAAT